AATGGAAAGAGTTTGGCAGATGGAGTGCCACAAATACAACATAAAACAAAAACTTGCATCAAGCATGAAAGAACAGTGGAAAAACAAATTATACAGATGACAGTGCCTCAGACCATAGCAGGAGATTGGGGACAGAATATAGCTTATCTTTTTTGTTTAGATTTACTACTCAATTGTTGGAAATTCTTACAAGATATACAAACAGCTTTGCAAAATGAGAGTTGAAAAATCAAAAAATTTGAAAAGCTTATTTAAAACATCAGAATTATTTTCATCAAAACATGTTATAAAATTCCAAACAAATGCATAAAATTAAAAACATGGTAGTATGATTGAATTATCTTGTAAATTTTTTTTATTTGAGGTTATTTAAATTGAGATCAATTAACTGAAAATTATTCAACTATATGATTTCAACAAGAGGGTATGGAGCTTTGATCAGTTTACTGCTTGCTGATTTTGTTTAATAAAAAAAACTTTTCTTCAAAGACTAACCAAATACAGAAAATATTTTAAATTTTCCACAGCATAAAATACATAAAAAGAGGATACCTTATTTTATTTATCTTTGATATACTTTCTTTAATGATAATTTAAAAAAAAAAAAAAAAAAAAAAAAATGAATATAATTATGTTAGTTTTGGAATCAAATCTACAGAAGTGTGACCAGAGATTGAATTTGAACCGACCAGGTTTAGAGTTTTTCTGTGATTACCAAAAGAGAAATTGCTAATTTGGGGGTTATAATGAAGTGATATTTATACAGATTTTCAAACATTAATTTAACAACAGTTATATGTTGGTATAAATCCATACTGGAATGTTGTAAACATTTAAATAGCATTAATTAAAAAAGCAAAGAGATTTTCAGAGAAATCTGAAGGAAAAAATTATCCATTTTAGAAACCAGTTTCTCATCCATCTCAAATGGGATAACATTTTAAATTGTTTTGAAATCAATAAAAATACTGATACAAAATAGACCATGTAAAATATCCTCATTTTAATACTTGCAATAAAAAGCAACTGAAATTAAGATTAAAGGAATAGTCAAAGCCACTGATGGCAGCACATTTAAAGAATTTTAACAGACCAATTAAGATTAATCCAAGAAAATGTTAGGAGCAATCATTTTACCAATACTTTCTCATAAAGATTTGAACTATGACTAATAAAAGTATTTTGTTATGTATTGAAGTACATAGTGCAAACTAATTATTTGAAATGTAATAACAAAATTTATGCAAATCATTTTAATGACTGTCTTTTTTATTAGCTGCTATTAATGAAGAAAGTCTGTAAATTTTGAATTGAATTTATATTTATTATAAATATTTACTAGAAAAATCAGTTGAGAGCTAGCGGAATCAAAATAGTTGGAGATAAGCAATCTTGTTTAATTTCATTTCACCTGAACCACATTTAAGACCATTATTTAATCGAGAGAGGGGGGGGGAGTTTATTAAAGATTCTTCAGAATGTAAGAAAAAGTTATTCTTTTCCTTACACTTAAACTAGCATTCAGCCTAAACCTATTAAATTTTTAAAATCATTTTTCAAAAGATTAAAAGAAAATTCAATAAGTTTGAAAACAACAGCTTTAAGTGAAAGGAAGAAATATAAACCAAAAATTACAAAGACAATATTTTATAAAAGGGGAATTATTTTACAATCAAGTTTTAATTATATCATTTTTGAGCAAAATTAAAAAGCAAAAAGAGGGGGGGAGGCTTTCCTTCCTACTCAGCCATACTTAAACTAAATTGCATTTAATATATTTGTAATAATGTAGACACTTATAAATGGCTTTTTGCCATACTAAAAATAATGTTTCTAAATATGTATAATCAAGTTGATTAATGTTTTTGCCACAACCTGAATTTGGGAGCAGAAGTTCACTAAAAACATGCACTCACATAAACATTAGTCTGTTTGTTCATGGTTTTTCAACTCAAAGTGCCAAGAAGTAATTGCATTTTAAAACTAATAAACTAATAGAGTGAACCAATAACATTTGGTGTATAGAATTTTTTTTTATGAAAATGCCATGAAATAACAATGCTGAAAAACAAAAAAACGGAAATTCACCTGTAATAGTAGCAAACCTGACATGAAGTACTTTGTAGAGGATATGATTTACAAGGGTTGACATCTAATGTTTTCAGTAACACTAAATTTATTCTTATCTGATCGTTCTATAAAAATCAGTTTGTGTTCTTTTTTATTATAATTTTTACATTTTCGCTTAACAATAAAAAATTAACACGTACATGTTGGAAATAAATGAAAGAATTTTAATTGAAATTCTGAAAACATTCAATCTGAAGAAAAGGTAAGGAAAAACGGTGAGTAACTAGATTTTATTCAATTTTTTTTTTAGTTTCGTGAAAATTGCACATAAAAATATCCTTTTTTTTAAACTGTTAATATATTTTTTATACCGCAAAAGGCTTTCTTTTTACATTCTTTAAACCAAAAAAATTTGGCTTTTGTATATTCGTATGAAACTTTTGAAATCTTTTTTTAGAAAATAATTTATTTGTCTACAGCTTAGTAACTAATTATTAAAAACAAAAATCACCGACTATTAAATTTAAAAAATGTTTGGGATTCAAAAGGCGAAGTGATGAAAGTTGACTAAATCAATTTTTCCTCTTCTTAAACAACGTATTTTTTAATTTTCTTTCGCTTTATCTACAGAACATTTTATGTTAATTTTCATGATCTTACAGGTTTCATCTTTCTTTTGCACATTTAATGCTAAATATTATTTATATGGACAGAAAATGTTTTACTTTTGTAGTAGCAGAAAGTAATTCTGGATTTATTTTCATCTTACAAAAACAAAAAGAAAAAAAATGAAAACAGAATAATCATTTTCCCCAGTTTTCTACGACTTAGAAAAGGCAAAACCATTAAAAAGTTTGAAGTTGTGCTTTCATATGAAACACGGTAAAAATGTGTTTTTATTATTTAACTCCTTTTTCTTTAATTGTCTAAAAAGGATATTAAAACAACAACTTCCTTAAAAATGGGTCAGTCTTTCTTTCTTTCCTTCTTGTTAAATGAGACTCCAGTGAATATATTTTACATCTTCCTAAAAATTCAATAGCATTTTTATATTCACATAAGTAACAACTGGACTATGAGAATCACAATATTTAATGCAAATTGTCATTTTTCTCTCATTGTCTAATAAATTCGCATTACATATTTTTATTATTATTAAAAGTAGTAGTAGTAACAACCGTTGCTACTACCACCACCACTATCTTCTCCTTTCTGTTAAAATCGTTTATGTTCAGAATAAATGATTTATTAAGTAATATACAGACGTAAAAGATGAAATACAAGCGAAAGCGAGAAGATATCGAATTAATCGATAGAATTATAAACAAATCAATATATTTTTGCTGATCGTTTTTACAAGAAGAGAAATGATTTCCTTTCTTCCGCGTGTGTCAGCCATTTTTATTGTTTATCAACAAACGAAGGAAGATGAGATTTTTTCAAAATATTTCTTTCTTCTTGTCTTTATTTCAGTCGTAAATCAGTCACAAACTGGATTTTTAAGATCAAGCGGGAACGGATGATACGTAAATGGTTTCTTTTTAATATATTTACGGTGGTGAACAGGGTGAAAATGAATACGATACTTAAGTCAGAATCACGAAAAGTACTTTTCGATGTATTTACCACAAATGGTCTAACAAACTCTAAAAATATATAGGCCAAGGTCGAAGGTTAATGTGACCTAAAATATGTAAACGTTTATAAAAATGAAAAATTTGATAAGTAAAATAGGAAAATTTTAAATTCAATCTTTGAGAAAATAGGTTAGAAAAAATTAAGCTAAACAATCGGACTATAAAGGAATTTTGATTCAAGACAGAAGGTACCAACACTAGAAAGAAAACAGTTTTTAAATAATTGAAATATGAATTTAGTTTATTTTCATTTTTAAATCTAAAAACCGACAAAGTTTAAAATAAAATCGTTTTTAAATAAAAAGGTTTTATTTATTTTTGTAAGAAAACAAAAACAATAAACATGCATTGTTGACAAAACTAGTGTTTACATTTTAGTGACAGACGTCTGACAAGTCATTATGTTCGTATTTCAAAACAGATCATTTTTTTTTATAAATCTACTAAATTACAGAAAACAAAACTTTAAAAAATAGAAAATTATTTAAAAAAAAAAAAAAAAAAGCAGTAAATATTTTTTTAAAACCAGTTTTGTTTTTATTGTACAAGACAAAACAATCCAAAATGAATCCCGCCTAAATCAATTTATTTCATTTTTTTGACAAATGCAAGATGCTATTTTTGTAAAAATTTTAAAAACTATTTTTTTTATTCTAGTTTGAAATTATCTTTAAAATTAAAAAAAGGGATCATTTGTTATTTTAAGAATTATCGGAAAACAAACTTTTCTTTAAAAATGTGATGAAACAGTTTGTGAAAATATCGCAACAAATTGTTTTGATGTTTAAAATAAAAAAAAAGTTAGAAGCTGCTTTCGTGGCAATTAAAATGACTTTGCATACGATCGGATTTGATGGCAATATGGAGAAATGAAGTAAAAATCAGGAAGGAAGGAAGAAAAATCAGAATCAAGGAGACAAAAAAGGAGAGAAAAGAGAGAGAAAAAAAGAAAAGGCTACGAAGAAAAAGAAAGATTGTAAATAAAATCTCAAGAAGAAACAGAAAACGTTGCAAAGTAGCAGTCGGCCGCCATTTTTGTTTACAACATGTCAAAACGAAGCAGCAGAGACGAAGAGGTTAAGAAGCAATGAATATCGTTCAGAACCAACAGTTTACAACAAGAGAATCGAATTAAAATAAGCCAAAACGATAGACCAAAGACGAAATCAACTCTAAGCTGACATTGCTAAGGGATTATTAACTTCAAATACCCGTATGGCGGTTTTCCCACCAAAATTTGAAATGTGGAGAGACAAAACAAGAAGGCGTTGTTATGAAATTGTTCTGACTTACTCTTCTCCGTCCTGACAATGTCCTGTCGCTTCGTCATATTTGGTACAATAGTTATCCGGACTGTAATTAAAGGAGCCGTCCCTTCGACGGATGGGTCGGCGCCGTCTTTGATTCATGAAATGCCAATTGAAGCAGGTAAATGGTCGATGCTGTGTACACTTATGCTGTAGAAATAGTGGACATTGCTGGGTGCGGAATTCCTTTAAGTACCTAAAGAGGAGTAAGGAAAAAGAATGGAGAAATCAGCGCCAAACAATCCAACGACACCCGTAATGGGGATGGGGTTGAATGCTTCGGTTCAATAACAGTCTCCCGCTTTCGGGAAGGGTTTGTAAAAGGTGAAAACTTACGCGTAATGTTGGGGTTTCTCCGTCTGTGCTGGCAGTACCGGAGCTTCCGACGGCATATTGTTGTCATTACTGAACCTTGTGCGCAGCTCGTCCGCGCAGCATTGAGGGAAATGCCTTGAACCTGATTGGTCCGTTCCAATCACGTGACGAGGGTTTCCCGGACTGCTGCTGCTGCTGCCACTTTCCTTTCAACAACTCTTCTCAGTTCGTTTTCAAAAAGAAAACACTTGCTTTTTTCAATTTCAACAAAAACTTTCACAAATAAATTTATAATGGGTAAATAAAAAAAAAGAAGAAGAATCATTTAAATATTTCTGCTGTCTTTTTAAATCTGCACATTTACGAGCAGGACGTTAAATATTGCGTGTTTGCTTGACACTTCTCAGCGAATTGGAACAGCTTTTTTTAAAAAAGATTTTACAACAATTTTATAAATTAAAAAAAAAGTAAGTCATAAATTACCGCTTAAAAATTAAAGCTAAACTTAATACTGATGTAACACTTTCGATGTAAAGTACAGGGTTGGTTGTGCGTTATTAATTATCTAAGGAGCCGTTTCAGTTTTTTGCCAAAAGATGCGCGTGTTGGTTTTCTTTTAAAACTAAAAAGTTACTTTCTTGTTTTTATTTTAGTCAGTCAAAACAAAATTAATTAAAGAATAAAAGTGAAATATAGCAAATCGGTTCTTTTTTTTAATTTTTTTTTTATAGTTTCTTTACTTTAATACTTTTAACTTTTAAGACCATACGAGCATTTAAAACTATTCATAATCGTTTTACTTTTAAAAGAGGAAAAAACAAGTTATGTTTTATTTTATAAAAGCAACTTTTTATTATGTTGGAAACATTTAAATAAATTAAATTTAAACCTAACTTTTCTCGAACTAAAACTAATCAACTACAAGCTTTAAACAACGCAATCATAAGTTTATGATTATATTGAATTATTGTTTAGCGGAGAAAAGCTTCCGTTAGAGAGAGATCGGGTTCGTTAATAATTGTTAGTTGTGAGTTCAATTTCTGGATCGGGTAGTGCAAAACCTCGACTATTCTGGTTCAGTGGAAAAAAAGACGTAAAAACAAGGATGGATTAAATTAATCAGATTCAGAACTAATACAAGAAACCGCTCCAGCATGAGCTACAGGAACAAAATCTGCCCACTATGGAAAATGTGTGGTTCGAATTTTCCAGATTACCTCTACCATCTATGATGACAGAGACGACTTAAAGAAAGCCGGGGAGGATACAGCAAGTTCAAGTAAAAAAACTAAAAAACATAATGAGAGTCTCTCTCTAGTCTAAGTAGAATAATTTATTAGTGTTACTAAAAAAGTTAGTAACACTAAATTCTAATTAATAGAAATTGTCTTTTAACAAAATATTTGCTTGTTTGAAAAAAAAGTTATTTGTAAGTTTCTCAGTAAGGGTAGAGAGAGAGAGAGAGAACAAGAGATTTTTATGGTTTCAGTTTCATAAACACTAAATAGGGTATTTTTTTTTTTACATTATCAGCGAAAACTTTAAGCATTAATTGAAATTGAAAAGAAAATACTTCTTCCTCTTTTTGCAGAGAATTCACAAATTATTTATTCCCAGAATTATCTCCGAAGTCGTTTAAATTCAAACAAGACGTCATACCTGCCAACGTAAGGTGTGTATAAACATGCTTCAAAAAAGAAAAAAAATAAGCCTCACCCACTATAAAAAGTCAAAGAAATAATAAAACATCAACTCAATAGCAAATCATTCTGTCTCTGTGGATTTCTCCCTGACTATTCACCCACTTTTCTTTTCGTTTTTCACTAGCTTTCTTACTTACCCTCTCTACCGCCCTTTCACGCATTCATTGTCTTTTCTTTCCTCTTCTTCCCAATTTTGGTCTCGAGTGTATATAAACCTTCACAGAGCGCACTTAGATTTTTAACACTGAAAATGATGGGAGCAACGATCTTTTTTCTTCTTTTTTTTAATTAAATAAAACTGAGAAATAATAAATAACAATTTTGTTTGATATTTTATCTTGGCTTCTTTCAGTTGTTTTCACACTTCCAACTGGAATTAAAAAAAAAATGCCTATTTATGTGGGAAAAGAAATGCGAAAAGATAAACTTTTTTTTTAACCATGTTTTATTTTTCAAAGAAACACATTCAGTGAGTTGCAAATAATAAAATAATTATTAATAAGATAAAAATGATAGATTATCATTAATTTTTTATTTAAAAATACAAAAAATCCATAATTTAGCATGAAAATTGAAAGTAAAATTTAAAATATTGCTTTAAGAAGTTATTTTATTTGTTTTTGTTTGAATGATAAACTCGTTGTCGATTTTTTAAAAGATTTTTTTAAAAGAAATACTTTTTTCCTTTTTCTTAATAAAAATGAAAGCTTGTGTTCAGTGTTGCATCATAAAGTCACTACTTTACAGTACACTAGTTGAATTGTTGTTGCACTACTGAAAAATTTAAGCCTTTTTAATTCAATTTATTTACCTGTTTCTTTTTAAACTATTTTAAAATGTGAAAATAAATAAACTTTATCTGGCCAAAAAGAGAAAGTTATGAATGAAAAAGAATAGAAACAGAATTTCATTCATTCACGGAAGCATAATCTTGGAGTCGTAACTTTACAATACATTTGTACAGTAACACACTCACTATGTCCGCAACAAAGAATGCGTAAAAAATGTTGTTAAGTGTTAAAAAAGAAAGATGATGATTATTTCCATAATACTGAAGATTTTTCAGCAAACAAAAGTCGAAGAAGAGAGAAAGTAAAAATAAAAGATTTCTTTTCCACTTAAAAAGTGTGAATAATTCAAGTAGGCAACTCAATAATAAAGAAGCAACTCAGGAAATTCGGAATATTTTTCGGACAAAAAACTTTCTGTCAGTGAATTTTATCTCTTGTTTTAATTTTTATTGTCTTTTTTTTATTTTTTTAAAACTTTTTAAAATTTTAATTTCGACGCTTTTTAATTACAATATTTATAGTTAAAGTGCGCCGAAATGAAAATTTTGTTTTATAAAGAATAAAGAAAAAAAGACATAAAAAACTAAAAGTTTAAGCTTTTCTGTTTCCTTATGTAACAATTCTTTTGTTTTATGGATATTTTATTTTCTTTATAAAACATTTTTTTTTAATCCATGGTAAAATACGCTTTGCTGGGACCATTGGGAAATTTGAGATTACTTTTCCCCTGATTGTTTTAGAGACCAATCAGATCTTGCCTTGGTTGGGCGTTAAGGAAAAAAAAATCAAACTGAATAACGTCAGAAATAAAATAAAAATTATTAAAACAGCAACTCGAAATGGACACTGCGTGTGACTTTTATCACTCGATGTGTAAATGATATAAGTAATGAAGAACATGTTTTTCAGGATTCATGAAAGAACATGCAAAAAATTTCCACATTTATTTTCTGAAATAAGATACGAATATTCACCTCCCAGTCTGAACCACCCTTATCTACTGGGATGAGCAATGTATAAAGTTTAAACAGAAAAAAAAAAATAACAAATTATACCGTCAAATTTTTCAAACATTCATATAATAGTACAACCGTACACTAATTAATTCCTTTATTAAAAGTTTTAAATTTGTTTCTGCTTTTGGAAATGTGACACTATTTAGCTATGGTAATTGGCTAACTAATTAAGCATGGAAATTAAAAAAACGAGAAATACTTAAGCGAGAAAAGAGATATAATGAAAGAAGACAGACTGAAAGCGACAAATTTTTTTTTTAACAAAAAAGAAAAATAAAAAGATTTCGTTTCATTTATGAAGAAAAGATATTTTTTCGCAGAAGACAGAAAATTAAGTAAGAAAACAGGTTTCAGATTCTGTCAGAATTAATTAATGTCATGATATTGACAAGGAAAGCAGATCTAAAAAGATAAACAAATTTATGTCAAAAATGGCGACCAGGAAGAATTTCAGAGAGACCACCTGTAAAGAATAGCCACTGATATCAGAGATATCATTTGGTTTTGGTTCTTGAAAAAAAAGGAGATCCATCTGTTGTATGTCTGGATCTTGTTTCTGATAAAAAGTGATTTGTTTTTGGAAACAGAATCCAGAAAGAATAACCATCTACCACACGATAAGAATAAGCCAAAAATTTCACAGAATAGTTAAAAAAATCAAATTAAATTGGAATTGATTTATCTTAAAAAAAAACAATTAAGAAAGCCATTGTTACCTGTTCAAACTGTGACGACAGACTTTTCTGTCACACATAAAATGACATCTGAATGATAATATTGATAGGGAAAGACAAAGAGATTTAGTCGACCACCCAGTTAAATAGTTGACCACCCCAGTTAATTGTTCAGGAGAAAATCCACTAATGAATTTCAAGGTGACCCCAGTTAAGATAAACAATTTAATGTCCCAATATCAGCGGTCCATAAGAAATTCTGGCACGAAAAGAAAAGAAAAGAAAAAAGATATTTTTTTTTCTTTGAATACTGTAACCGAGGTCAGTCTAGTCACACTGCAGCTGCCGGCGTTCATTGTGAGTGGTGGCATGAGTGATGGTGAAGTGAACATATGAGAAAAAGAGAAACTGTTGACGCCCACTGAGGATTGGTATGAGATACCAATGTGAAAAGGAAAAGTTTAGGAGGACAATTCCCTCATGACCTCTCCCCCAGAGAGGGGAGAACCCCTAAAAACCGCCAGAAAAGTAGTGACTTTCAAAATGGGAAGTGATAAATTTTCCTGTCCGAAGACGAAGAGGGTACTTATTGAGGATTTGGAATTATCGGAGGAACCCAAACCACGACGGGCTAACAGTTTTTGATTACGGCGTCCATATAAATGAACGACCCCAGAAGAGTGAAACAGTTGAGTTCCACGACAGTTTCAGAAAAGGGTCAAAGAGAGCTGTTGAGCTTGGAGACCAGTCTCTGAGGGAGCTTTGAAAAGATTTCCATGCATTCCGACTTAGACTTTCAACCAAGCAATTTTTTTCTATGAAAGGAAGTGATAGACTTTACACACCATCAAAGCAAGTTTTAATGAAATCACCTGAAAGATACCCAAAAGCAG